GGGTCCTTGGCCAGAACCCCACCACCGCCTGACTTAATTCTACCCCTGGACTCTGGCGGAGGGGGACTGTTGGCCTTTCCTCCCGGCTCAGCTGTTGTTCAGGGCCCTGCCCCAGTATTGGCATGAGACCCAAGGGGACGAGGCTCACAGCCTCCTTTAGAGGTGACGATTGGTCTTTCAGGTTTTGAGCCTGCGTCAGCCCCAGCTCCCTCAGTCCCAGCCTGGCAGGGCCGCTCCATCGGCACAACCAAACTTCGCCTGGTGGAATTCTCAGCCTTCCTCGAACAGCAGCGAGACCCAGACTCGGTGAGTGTACTGCGAGGTGTGCCTTGAATCCCATCCCGTTCACCTTCCCCCGCCTCTGCCTTCCTTCTCCTTTCCCCCTGCCTCATGCCTGACAAACAACCTGCATGTAAATGGGCCTGCAGGAGATGAGCCAGGCCAACTTCCAATTAAGTAGAAAGGTATTTGTGTTGACAGATAGGTAGAATTTTAGAGCCAAATGCTCTGTGCCTCATACTCCGGGGAAGGCTGGAGCTGGAAGGGAAAGGCCTTAATAGGCTCTTGTGTTTAATAAAACGTAACAGTAGGTGGCAGTTACTGAACCCTGACGTGGGGCTGGCACTGTGCAAAGCTGTTTATATACATGGTCACTTTTTATCCCCACAAAAACCCTACAAGGGCGGGTAGCATCGGACAGATGAGGAAACAGAGAGATTAACTTCTCAAAAGTCACACAGGTAATACCTGTTAGAGTCGAGATTCCAATTCCTGTCTTTAAAACTCAAGCCTAAGCATTTAGCTTAGTTATTCTATACTGTCTTTGCTTGTTTTCTCAAGATAGCAAGTGGTTCTCTTCTTAAGGAGAAGTAACAAGATGGTATTTTAGCAGTTTGATACAGAACGCGTTGCATTATAATATAAATACCAGTCACAATGGCATCTGGACTCTGTGTGTCATTTTCTTCTTTTCTGTCTTCACCACCCCATCCAGCACCCGCCATACCATTGTTTCTCAGCCTGTGCCATTATTTCCCATACATATGTGAGCCTCCCTTCTTTCCTACCCGAAGAGCCCCAGACCCTTCCTTCACTCCCACTCCTTGGCTGTGAGAATGAGCATTGCATCTGTGTGTGGGTGAGCCCAAGGCAAAAATGCAGGAATCAGAAGGTTTGTCTTCGGGATCTTCACCAACTTCTTTCTGCACACTCTATCTCACCCTCCCCCCACTCCCCCCCCCCCAGCCCCAATCTCGGGCTCCCAACGCCCAGAGGTCCCAGGCTCCCTGTGAGTTCACTGCCTTGCTGTCATTCCCTCGTCAGCAGAAAGTATCATGGGTGAGTTCACCATCCATCGTAAATACCAGCACACTGAACGATTGGAGGTGACCTCTCCGGGGTGTTTGTACTTGAGCTCAGTGGAGAGCCTCTGATGGTGGCATCAGGGAGACACCGCGAGCCATCACCAGAGTGGAGACCTAGGGGGAGCCTGTGTGTGGACCGCTGACACTTCTTTCTACGAATTGTGAACTCTGGGAGCTGGTAGTAAAACAGAGCCTGCTCCAAAACTAGGGAAAAAAATGAAGAAAGGGATATAAAGTAAATCATTGGGCCCATTGAGGCAAGTTACTGGGGCCAGGGAGGGAAGGGCCAGCTGGATCGCTCTTCTTACGTGGCTGAGCGGTTTTATAGGAAGGGTGGTGGCGATGGCTTAAAATCTTTCTCTGTGAGAGGCACTGAGATGAACAAACATGAAGATTATCCTCCTGGTTCTTTGTTTCTTCTTCTTTCTGGAAAGTACAGGGGATTCTTTGGCCAAAGTCTGGGTTTCGGCCCAGGAATGCTTTTCACTTTGCATCACGTGTGTTTGTATGGCACCTGGTTCCTTACAGAGTACGCTGTAATCGATTATTTCATTCTGTCCCCATAGGGCCCCATGACTAAATGGTTTGCCCTATTTTACAGATGAAGAAACCGAGGCCCAGACAATGTTAAGACAACTTAAGATGTTTAGCAAATAAGCACAGGGATCAGGAGCCCAAATCTATTCCGTTATACTCTTTTGACTACCGTAAACCATCCCCAGTTTTGAAGTTCTCTCTCTTCAGTACACATACCTCCTGTGTGGCAAATCTCTCTCTTTGCTTGTGACCATTTTTTAAGGAACAGAACTCCCAACGCACTGGGAAGCAAAAGTCCCAAGATGGTAGTTGTTTTCCCTGGTTAAAACACGATAGAATGTTTTATCGCAATAAAAAAAATTTTTATTTGATGAAAATGCCTATGGCAGCCCCATCTTATGACTGTCCTCTCCAATCATGGACCCATTAGGAGGAATCTCTAGTCTCTCTTTTTGTTGTTGTTAGTGTTGATTTGGCTTCACGTTGTGAATCCCTAGATTCCTTCAGTCCAATCTGTAAACATTTATGAGCACCTGCGCATGCATGCACAGTGTCTGCCCACGTGGGGTGTAACATCTAATGGGGGGACACACACAAAGCACCAGCCACTCACGAAGAGGTCATTGTGAAGTATGGTGGGGTTTCAGAAGGAAGAGCATCAAATGCCACGAGCGATTAACGGCACAGGGCAGACTCCCTTGAGGAAGTAACCTTAGGTAGAGGATTGATCTAGCCCGAGGAAGAATAAGGGAGAAGAACATTCCAGACGTGATGACTCTGAGTATATAAAGGAGTAAGTGAAAGTTGGTAAACAGTTTTGTAAAGGCAGGACCCACCACCTCCTTGGAATACAGTCCAGAGATACGTGTTTCGTACGTGTTTAGGATTACACATGATAATCCGACTGGTTCGACTGGATTTGGCCTTTTACCGATGGAGGAAAAGGTTTGGCTCTAAAGACTGGACTTTAGCACATGACTTCAGAGGCCCCGAAATAAATGCGAGGCCTGGCATGAGTCAACACCCTTGGGCCTCTTGAGAACATAATTATATTTTAAGGGGACACGAGTTGGGGACTGAAAGAAATTGGAATCATTCAACAGCTACGTTTTAAACACTTACTACATGCCAGCCACTGTTTCAGGTGTTAGGGATTCAACAGCAGAGGAAGCTAATCCCCATTGTCATAGAGGCTGTGTTCTAGAGAAGACAAACCAGAAATGCGCGCGCACACACACACACACACACACACACACACACA